CATTTTTTTAAAAAGAAAGTTAGTTTTACACAATTGGTTATCCGCGGTGTTCCCACAACAGGTACTAAAAACCCATTTTTATCCTTCAGCGGTTAACGAGACTTCCAAATACAAAATGTTCTGTCTTTATATTTAAATGCCTAAAATATAATTTCAAATATATATTACAACAAAAATTAACTTGTTTTGTGGATTTAACACACATGATCGACCTCACCGTTTAAGTGCATAGTACCCGGTTTACACTACTGTTTCAAGAATATTACTAAACAGTATTTTTATTCGTCTAGATAACATTTTACACTTTTTTCAAGTTAACGAAACAAAAATTAAAAATGTTCTCTTTAGTCCTAGAAGGTTATTCATTTTACTGGTTTGTTGTTTATAGTACAAAAGCTATTTTTTTCTTAGAAGTTGTCCTGTTTCTCCTTGAAGTTACAACAGTATGTGGTGCTTATTTTTAGAGGTAGCTGTTTTCAGCAAAAGTGAACGACTGTTTGTTCACACGGCTGGCTAAATTTACCTGTACTAAACAAACTTCTTTTGTTCTGTCTACGCTTTCTAATGTTTCTAAAGAGTTTACTTCATTCTGTTTAAAATCAACATTCAGTTTCAGTAAAAGGTATTTAAAAGAAAAAAATAATAATTGTGAAAAAATAATAAACAGTATGTCTCAATATCTAATTGACTAGGAAGACCGTAAAAATGTTTGTTTGCTTGTTTGCTCGGCGTCAGCGCCCCCTACGTCCTTAATCCAAGTGATACCTCAGGAAATCCGACTAGTTTAAGTGGATTGTGTTAGGCTTAAACGAAAAAAAAAAAACACCAAACATTATCGAAAAATAAAATAGCATAATAATAAAAGAGAGTACAAACCGATTAGCCATCAACGTACTTCTGCAACAATTTTCAATCTAGAGCTTGAGTTGTTTGGTTAATACTTCAACCTGTCTTTGTAGTGATCGTTGAAAGAAACAAATCTCTGTAAGAGCTGGCAATAAAGATTTAAAGGAGTGTATATTGTCCTTGATGTCTCAGCTACCTGTAATTAACTCTCATTTATAAAGTTTCTTAAAGATCCCCAAACAAATAAAGACGATTGACGATATAAACGTTTTGGATAAGAATTCATTTGGCAGAACTATTTAACTTCCAGTGACAATGCTGCTATTAAACTTAGATCACAGTAAGCTTAGCAAACTTGGTCAGTAAACTTAGATCACGATAATAATCTTTTAGGCTGGCATTATATTGTTTAATTAGTTTTGTAAGGTAATTAATAAACCTGGCTTAATATAAACCTTGTCATGCTTGCCCTTGTGTATTATTCACGTGCTTCCATTGGAAATTAAATAATTTGTACTGAATCTTTGACCACCAGTGAAATAGAACGAGGTAAAGGTGTGACAGACACTTAATAAACCTACTTCAAGAAGCATTGCTACAGTAGAGCCTCGATGCATTAAGATATTGTTACAAATAGTAGCCTAGTAATCCCCAAGAGCCAGCTTTTAAAGATATAAACCATATAATGGTAAGTAATATTTAATAGACGTGTTGAATTATCTGATTCTTGGTAAACAGGTTCTCCAGTTTACGCTTGCATTGTTCTGGATTGTGGTATTTAGTAGCAGACAAATATATAAGTTAAGTATGGACTCTTAAGTTAATAATTCAGGTAATTTTCAAAGTATATAATGGAAGATTTTATAGAAACTTTGGTGTCTGAATGAAGCCCATAAAAATGAGAGTGGTTAATTAGTAAGTTTTGCAATATTAGAAAGCGGCTTATTACAATGTCTCTTATTGCTTTTTTTTGTCTTGTTTGGACTATAAAGACACAATAAACCTTTGGGTTCTCTAATATGTATATCATATATGGTACGAATTGGAAATATGATGTTAACTATCTATTCTGAAACAAATCTGTTACTTCTAGTGTGTATCGATTCCCCCTGGTGGACAAAGCGCAGATAGCCCATTGTGTATCTTTCCGCTAAAATACAGACAAAAATACTGATCAAATTTCGCGTATTAATTACGCAGTGTACCCAAACAAGCTAGATTCAGTTATAACGATGCTATTGCATGAAGGACATCTGTAACGTACAGAATGTTTTGGGACTACATGGGACATATTGGCCCATCTTGGCTGTCCCATCCTCTAAAGTAAACTAAAACTACTGATAAATAAATTAAAAAAAAAATTAAAGCCAGCACTTATCATTCATATACTCTTAAACTCACTTAAATTTATTGCCTCCACAACATCCAAAGTCAACCCATTCCAAAAGCCAACCACCCTGTTAGAAAATATAAAACTGTCTTAGCTGAAGATAACACCTACCCTGCCAAAATTTGTATTTGTGTTCCCTGGTCCTACTATTCCAGTCATTAAGTATGAAAAAAGATGATGCATCAATACTATCAATTCCCTTTACAACCTTAAACATCTCAATCAGATCATCTCTAACTCTTACTTATTCAAGAGAAAACAATTTCAGAGATTGTAATATCTCCTCGCATGACAAACCATCCATGCCAGGCACCATTCTAAGAAACCTCTTCTGAACCCTTTCCAACAGTTCAATGTCTTTCCGAAGGTAAGGAGCCTAACATTGAAAACAATACTCCAAATGCGGCCTAACCAGTGACCTGTACAATGAAATTATAACCTCTTTAGAGCTGTATTCAATATTTCTGTAAATACAACATAAAATCCCACGTGTCCCACCACTAGCAACAGCACACTTCTTGGATGGTTTAAGAGACTGATCAACTATTACACCAAGATCCCTTTCTTTCATGACACTGTTAAGGTTATTCATATCCAAATCCCTATTATAATTTAAATTATGATAACTCACAAAATGCATTTATTATAATTAAAACCCATTTGTCATTTGTTTGACCAACTCACTATAAATGACCTAAATCCTTTTGCAAAGCAGCAGTATCCTCTTCGCAACTAACAACACCCAAAACTTTGATATCATCTGCAAATTTAGATAATTTATTGACCATTCCTTTATCTATATAATTGATGTAAATCAAAAACAGCAAAGGTCCTACGACTGAGCCCTGAAGTACCCCACTTGTAAGAATAATCCAGTTTGACTGAACTAAATTTGGAAAAAACTCTCTGCTTTCTTCCATCCAGCCACTTTTTTTTTATCGAAATTGCTGACTTATCCCTTACACGTATATATATATATAATTTCTTTTACAAGCCTTTTATGTGGCACTTTGTCAAATGCTTTCTGAAAAACCAGATATACCAAATACGCACCATTACCCTCATCAACAAAAGCAGTAATCTTTTCAAAGAATATCAAAATATTTGTAAGGCAAGATTTTCCCTCAGTGAAACCATGTTGACTATCCGATAAAATTCTAAACTTTGTTAAATGACTTAGAAAAGCATCATTTATCAGACTTTACATAACTTTTCCTACAACTGATGTAAGGCTAATAGGCCTATAATTACTGGGACAATTTTTATCACCTCCTTTGGAAAGAGGAGTGATATTTGGTAGGTCATGCTCATTAAGAATTAAAATGGTTTACTTGAAATATCATTATACAGCTGCATAAACTTTATTCCCCACACATTGTTGTACATGTGATATTTTCCCCCATGGTAAACGTACTAGCTTTCCCCCGTGGTAAACGTACTAGC